AACTTCAGCCCATTCCTTAAAAATGAATATTATGGCTGGAAATCTTTTGATTTTGGCCGTGTCGCAGGATGAGATGATTGCACTCTCTCTGCACTTCTTGGAATTTTTTCTCAAACAATTGCTCTGGGGCCATGTAAGGTTTTCATTTTTATTTTATCTCCCTCGTATCCACTTTCACTCCTTTTTCCGGGGGGTGGAGAGGATCAGGATTAGCTCCACTCCTCAATCCACCACCCTGAACCGCCCATTGCCCCCACCCCCATTTCCATCAGCAGTCCCTTAGTCTGTTGAAGTCCATGTTCATAACGGGACAGTCCTTCCCTACATTATGAATATAGGAAAAGAATATTTCTTTAGAATCGATTTAAAGAAGTGCTCTCAATCGAGAGATGTTTTTGCCTTTTCCATTCTTAATGAATGGAAACGAAAAATCAATAATATATTAATTGAAAAATCTGTGGAAATTCATTGAATATCAAAAACATAGATAACAGTCATATATCATAACTGCATGAATGTGTCTTAAGGTCGCCAAGTGAATGTCTTTAATTATCTGATACGTATACATATATATAAATGAGAAATTATTAAGCAAAAAATCTGGGTGGCTTTTTCGCATTTTCATCTCGGGTGGCTTTTTTCCGCTTTTATCAATTCTGGGGGTATTTTTTCCGGGTGGCTTTTTTCCGAACCCCTTATCAGGTCCTGCGTATCTTGTGGGCGACGGAGAATGAGAGGCCCTTCCGACGCGACCGTGATCCCAAAAGAGCCCAATGTGATCATTTAGGGGATCCTATATGTTATGTCCTATTGGATTCTAATAGCTCTATGGAATCCTATAGAAATCGAACGAAGCTATCTTATAGGATCCTATTTGAGTTGTACGTTTCAGAAATCTTATGGCGTTTATGAAAGGTCCCCCTCTAGGACTTTTCCACGGGAACCGGGAAATTGTTCGAAAATCAAAATTTCGCACTCAATTTTTCGAAATCGAAATTTTGCGAACAATAATATTATTTTAAAATCATAACATTTATTTTTTAAAGTCCTCCTACTGGGAAGTGCAGTACAAAGTACAAGAATGAGTAGCTAGTCTGGCACGCTTGGCAACGCTACAGAGATGTACGCTGTTTTGACAAGTCGACCGCCGTTCTAGGAAATCCTCGGGAATAGCTATGTTTCGACTATACAGGTAATCTTTTTAAAAATAGCTCTTTCCTGGGATTCTGGTCATTAATTATCGAGATGTCATGCTTCCCAGGATAGCATGGCTCAACTGTCAAACCTGTCAACTTTGGGATTATGGTTATCTGAGATAGGGAATCTAGCTGTTTCGACTGAATGAGATATTCCGGGATTCTAGCCATTTGGATGCATTCTGTCACAGACAGTCCTATAGGCTGCACCACGGTGCAATTTAATACGATTGAATATGAATGACATGACATGCTTTTGCGAGTGATATACTTGGCAGTTGGCTCTGTGAGAATCAGGACGGTCGAAAAACGTGATGCGGTAAAAGCAGCTGTTGTTCAGTATTTATAGCAAAGGAGGGAATAGGATCGACTAGCAATGACTGCACTCTTGAGGTATTCTCCCAGATACAGTCAGCGACAGACTTAGATGAAAGAGCGTGGTGACAAGGGTTGCAAGAAATTACGTGAGAAATTGCTTGGAAAAGAGTTGGACGTCGTATCTCAGGATACGCGTTTCGACTGAAACCTAGACCTGGGACACCAAATACAATACAATACAAACAGGACAATAAACAACAAAGTAATTATTTTCTATTGCAGCCCAGCGTGCAAGGAAACTAGTAGGTAACTGTTCCCATATTGGAAAAATTTGCTTTCGAAAAATTGATTTTCGAACAATTAACCTAGATTATTTTTCCATAACAGGCGGAGCTGGTGTTTCCTGCGCGTGAATGTTCCTGAACGTGCTCTGTTTTTGGTTTGGGTTAAGTTGGGACATATTTCTATGGTATCCGGACAAAATGGCCCCGGACAAAAGGGCCCCGGACATTTTGGCCCCGAATAATATCTTCCTAGGACAAAATGGCCCCGGACATTTTGACCCCTAATGAGATATAGGACAAAATGGTCCCTCCGGTAAAAATATACGATGACAGCTCATCAAGAGTTAACGAAAATTTGAATAATTGCGTCACCTACTTATGACTACGTTCTAAAATTAAGTTCTTTATTATCTTGAAGCTTGAATGCATTGGGGGCCAAGATTCAAGATGTTTATATTCATCATATCTTAATATGCTATAGCAGTACTAAAGGTTCACTACCTTCTCGTTCGCCTTCCCCTATCTTGCCCATCCTCCCCTCCCTATTCTAAGAAATATATATTCACTCACTTGCCACTTTTCTTGTCCTCTACGTTCCTTGATTTAATACCCACTTCCTCCCCCCCCCCCCCCCCCCCCCCCCCCCCCCCCCCCCCCCCCCCCCCCCCCCCCCCCCCCCCCCCCCCCCCCCCCCC